CGTGGCGCTCTAGTGTGGGCTTCCGGGCTCCCGGTTTGGTCTCTGCCTGCTCCTTTCTCTTCGGCCCACTTCAGGCCGTGGTCCCGACCTTTCCCCCCTGCCCTGCCGCTTCCCCCCCCCGGAGGGTGGTCACTGCAGACTCCGACCTCTTGATCCCGGGGTGTTGGAGGCGGAACCCGAGCGGGCTCGGAGACCCCTGCAAGGATCTAGTTTCGGCCCTGCGCTTGCCCGCGGAATGGACTCCGGGTCCGACCAGGGGTATCCTGAAGGGGCCTTCAGACCCCTCCCCTAACCCAGGCTCGAGGCTTGGTCCGCAGACTCCTCCTCCCCGCGCGGCCTAGGGTTTGAGCCTAACCCAGGCTGGCCTTTCTCCTGACCCCCGGGTCTCCCCTCGGCGCCACTGGTGGTGGTTAAGGGGGACGGGCTCTGAGATAATTGGGCCCGGGTGGCAGGAAGGGACGCAAGTTAGGGCCGCAGACCCCCTACGTGTATTGTTGTAACGATGGAGCCGTTCCAGCCCGGGGGATGGGCCAGGCCAAACTGACAGTACAAATGCCCGGCTGCTCCTCGGTCCGGCCCGAGAGTCTATGTGTTTTAGTTCCGGGTGCAGGTGGCCTGGTGTGGAGCTGGGATGGGAATTGCCTGAGCCAGCCCCCGTCGAGGCGGCGTTGGCAGCCTTCCAGCTTCCCTCCTCCATGCCCTTGAAAAGGAGGAGCGTTTCACCCGTTGGTGGCGGTGGCGGCGGCTTGCAAGGTGGCAGGTTTGAGGTTGCAGAGGTGGGGCAGTGCCAGCCAAAAATAACCATGGAGCGCTGGGGTGGCTGGGATCCGGGAGGGCAGCCGCCGACCTGACTGGCTGCTCTTCTTGTCAGCCCAGTTCTCTGGCCAGGAGCAGCAAATGAGAAGAAGCTAGGCCTTAGCTCAAAAAAAAGCTGGCATCCTTGGCTTGGTTTCCTCCACATTGCCTTTTCTTTCATTGTGCAGAGCAGAGCCTCCCAAAGCATAATTGTGGCCCTTAGCTTCTTTAAACAACCTGTTTGCTGGAGTCTCAAAGAACTAGAGACAATCGAAGAGAAATGGGCCCTAGATCCCTGGCTGAGAAGAGGACATCTGGTATTTCCAATATCTCACCTGCCTAGGATGTGTTAAAGGAGAGATGATGATCTTTATTATTGCTTTGTGTGTGGTGCTTTATAGCTCTCATACTTGTCATCTCCTTTGCCAGGCTGGGAGGTGTTATTTCCATTTTCTCAGCATGGTAACCAAGACCTAGAGTGACTTGTTTAAGTTCACAAGGCTAGTAAGTGGCAACACTGGGATTTATTTCAGGGTTTTCTGCCAGATGTCTCACTTCCCAGGTCCCTTGGAAGGGACTTATAAAATGCTCTTAATGCCCATAAGGCATTTAACACAGCCCGCAGTGTTACCTGGAATCTTTTTTTTTTTTTTTTTTTTTAAAGATGACCAGTAAGGGGATCTTAACCCTTGACTTGGTGTTATCAGCACCATGCTCACCCAAGTGAGCCACAGGCCGGCCCTACCTGGAACCTTTTTAATGTTGTTAATGAAAAGCTGCCTTTAGTACCTCATGTGGGCCCAAACCTGTGCTAGGCATTTAACTTACAGGAGAGACATACTTAATGCTCACAGAATCTTGCAAGAGAGGACTAGTCCCTTGTGGCAAAAGGAAACCAAAGGTTAGAATAGTTTAATAACTTGCCCAGAGGCACACAGCTAGAAGTGGCATTACCATAATTCAGACTGACATCTATCTGCTTCTGAAGCTGTGCTCTTTCTACTCATGTGAACATGTGTGGACATAAGAATCTTCTAGATCCTAGGAGGAAGTCTTTGGCCTGGTGTAGAGGACCCTGTCCTCCTGCTCTGGTGCTTTGTCTGCCCAGTGAGGATCGGCAGGGCCATGCTTCCCTGCGGGAGGGCATGTATTCTGGCCAATGGAGTGTCTTGTGGGTCAATTAGTGAGATGTGAGATACTACTTTCAGTCCATAGCTTGGGCACCTGACTCGGGGTAATTGCAGGAAAACTGAAACATTAGTCAGCTGATCATAAAAACAACAAATCTAAGCTCTTGGGAAGCTGTCGGTGATTTTACACAGTGTTTATTTCCAAGGCTTGCTGGGGACCAGACTTCCCAGGTAGATAGAGGAAGACACCTGCTAGTGGGGAGACAGAGGGCAGTGACTTTCTTAGGAACATGGAGAAGCTTCCAGGGGTTTGGTCAGATATGCCTTGCTGTCCTGCTCAACCAGGGGGAGCCATTGCCTGCTGCTTTTCTCTTGATAGACCCTGTTGATGAGATGGGGCAGCCTCGATGGGTTTGTTCAAAATGTACTTAGTCAGGCAAGCCCAGGACTGACCATGACTGGAGGTTGGCTGTGGCCAAATAATATGTTGGGAAGAAGGCTGGCCACGGTCTCTGGCACAGCCTTCCCATGGAGGCAATGTCAGAGGTTTGGGTGTGGATGAAACAGGGAGCTGGCCTCACATAGCCATCTTTCTCAGCAGGTGGCTTATCCAGCCTGGCAATTTCCTGTGGTGGCTATAAGTCCCCACTGAACAGGAATAATGAGGTGGGGGCTTTTTGGCCTGCTTCCCAGTGCATACGAGCCTGCCTGACAGCTAACCCTCTGGCTATTCCTGAGATGAGCATAGGAAAGTGTACTGGAGAAGCAGAGCTAGAGGGGACAGTAATGGTACCACTGGATAAAGGTGAGGTACCTGGCATGGCACTGCAGGTGATCTGAAGAGTGCTGTATGGGCCTAGGGCAAGAAACTTGGATACTCTGAGGACCCTGGCATCCTTACATATGCCGAAACCAAACGTGAACCAGCAAGCACTGGATAGACCCCCTGGGCTAACATCTACTTGGCTAGACCCTCAGGTGGGGTATTGCAGGGGTGTGAGACCCTGTGTGCTTCTTTGTCCAAGAGCTGGTTTTCTCATTTCTGCTGTGACTTCTCACACTGGCTTGTGGTCTTTATTCCCTTGAGTGGGAATAAACTTTCAGCTTCTCAAACTTGAGGGCTTTAACCCCTCACTCCAGTATGTTAGCTTCGTGCCAAGAGCCCTTTGACCTCTGGTTTACAGAGCATTCGCTTCATGGGACCCCACGGCAGGAGAGCATTGAGCATAAGAGGTTTCCCTTCCTCCCGGTCCTCGGTCTCCCTGTGATGTTGCTCACTATCCCTGCCCTGCATTCCTGCCTCAGCATCTGGGCCCTGGCTCACTCAGTTCCCCGTCCCGGGTGCTAAGGCCACCAGGCCACTGATGCTCTGTTGGGAAGCAGCCATTTCTTTGTTCACTGGCAGAGAAGGATGTTACCCATTGTCTGCTGTTTGACCAGCATGACCTCAAGAGTTTTTCTTCTCTTCATAAACCCTGGGGAGGGGCCACCGCACACAGAAGAATGGGCCCTTCTTCAGGAGCACCTGGGCTGCCCCACACAGCCCTGTGGCTGGAGGTGGCTGGTTGTGTTAAATGGGCTTTCCATTTCTCGTGGCCTAGATGCATCACTGTAAGCGATACCGCTCCCCTGAGCCAGACCCATACCTGAGCTACCGATGGAAGAGGAGGAGGTCTTACAGTCGGGAGCATGAAGGGAGACTGCGATACCCATCCAGAAGGGAGCCTCCACCCCGGAGATCTCGGTCCAGAAGGTGAGAGGGAAGTAGGGAGGAAGGAAGGGCTGCCTTCCTCAGCTGGGCTAGCGAGATTATCCAGAGTTTCTGGCAGCCGCAGACTCCTTGAGGTGACTCGACCTCAGCCCAGCAGCCCCTGGGTCCCTGCCCTGTACTTTTTGGGCTCCTCCCCTAACCTCCCTGCATTCCCTGGCCTTAAGCTAGCTATGGTTCTTGTCCCCCCTTCTTCTTACACGTTCCCTCATTTTCTAGGCCAGAATCTCCCCTGCTAACCACCTGAGCCTTTCTCAGTGGGGATTAGCAATCTAACCTCAGCCCTGGAAAGGTTGGTCCCTGGTCCTGTCTCAGCCCCCAGGCCAAAGTTACAGTTGTAGCAGGCACAGAGAACTCTGGAGTGTTGGAATCTGCAGAGGCCCTCCCCAGTGCCTGTTCCCCTGTTCCCTACCTTCTGTAGCACTGGCAGGATGCTGTTATTAGCCAAGGTTCTAGAGGGCAGGCTTAGTACCTTCTCACCTTCCCTTCCCCTGCCTGCTTCCCACCAGTCTGGATTCTTTTGCTTCAATAGGCTCTCCCTGTGAGCACTTTGCAGGAGCTCTACCACAGGCCTCTTGCCAGCTAGCAGAGACCCGGCTGGTGGGAGCAAGGTTCCCACGTGACCAGTGTTCCCCTCCCCCACTTGGCAGCCATGACCGCCTACCCTATCAGAGGAGATACCGGGAGCGTCGTGACAGTGATACATACCGGTGTGAAGAGCGGAGCCCATCCTTCGGAGAGGACTGCTATGGATCTTCACGATCACATCATCACCGGCGGTCACGGGAGAGGGGGCTCTACCGGACCCGCAAGCATGCCCACCACTGCCACAAACGCCGCACCAGGTCTTGTAGCAGCGCCTCCTCGGTGAGTGGTGGCCAGAGTGTGCTGGCTGGGGCTTAAAGGCCTCATCTCTTTCTAGCCTCTCTCAGGCTGGCTGGTCTGGGTGAGTACTGCCAACCCTGTGCACATGCGCTGGTGTGCGTGCATGTGTGTGTGTGTGTATGTGTTGTCTTGTCCAGGTGCAGGGCTGAGCAGGGGCATCCAGCTCCTCTGTCTTCTGGCCCCTTGCCTGTGGCAACTCTAGGGGCTCTGGCTCCGGCGCTGGCTGGTTCCCAGCCTGTCTGTGTCTACACACTGCTTCAGACACAGGACACAAGGTGCAAGTGGCTGGGGACACTTCTTAGGGATCCTAATAGGGTTGTCAGTATGTTATTTAGAGCTTTATGGCCTGGTCCTTCCCACTCAGAAGTTTCCCCATGTAGCCAGGTGCTCTGACTGGTATGGACTGCATCCACCTCTGCTGTCTCATCTCCACACCCTCCCACAAAGGCCTGGAGGCTGGAGTGCCGCATGGGAGGGGAGGATTTGTTTGTCAGTCACCTCAGATTGGGAGCTTCCCATCTGACCTCCAGCCAGGCCCTCTTCAGCCTAGCCTCTCCATGAGGGGCAATCACGGTGAGGAGGGGCAGCTGCCTCTGTGATGGGGCATGTGAAAACTGGCAAAAAGACCTGCAGCCCCAGGCCTTGTCGAGTTGGAGGCCACATGGCAAGAGCAGGGCCTAGCCAGTGTTCCTAGCATGGACAGATCTCTGCTGAGACCAGGAGCCCACACTGCACTCAGTCCCCTGGGGAAGGAAAGCCAGTTTGGATTTCTGAGACTCTGTGCTGTCGTCTCTTCTTCTTCCCCATCCTCTTCCCTGCCTTCCTTCCTCCTCCCTCTGGCCATGAGGCTCCTGAGGAGCAGTGGAGGGGCTAGACATCTTCTCTGCCCAGCTCTCTGTGACTTCTTTGAGGGGCAATGGGTTAAGGCTTGACTCTGCAGGTGAGTCCAGCATGGCCTGGTGGCCTCCCTGCACACTGCCACACACTGCCACAGGATGGCAGTGCAAATCTGTGGCTCTGCTTCTTCTCTTTTTGGTGCCCTCTGTTGTCATAAGGTTTGGGATGGGCCTGGCCTGTGAGCAGCATGAGTGCCAAAGCCAGGGCAGGAGTTGGCATGGGGCCTATGTGGGCCATTGTGGTAGGAGGCCTGGAGGTTGACCAGCTCAGAGGATCCCAGGCTCCTTTCCTGCTTGAGGCTGGTGGCAGGAGGGCTGCTGACGGAAGGCTGTTTCCGGTAGTGATGGTTAAATCTGGCCAAGGATGCTGTCTGGGGGCAGGTAGCAGCTTGGCTCTGAGTGGCAGCTGTCAGGCATGTACAAGGCTGTGTGGGCAAACAGAGGCAGGCAAGGACAGACTGGGCATTCTGCAGCTGAAGCCAGCGTAGGCCTCTGACCAGTCTGGATGGTCAGACCCAGCCTGGGCCATCTGCCTTCTTGCGCCGTTCTCACTTCGTCTTCAGCTTTGGCCAAAGCCACCATGGGAGGGCCCGGGAGGGGGAGACTCGGAGGAGGAGGGAGTCAGCGCTGTGGCTCTCTTCACGGCCTGGTCCCTCAGCAGCAGAGGCCGGTCGTCTTTCTGAGAGTTTGCAGCACTTCTCTTATAGATAATGTCCGAGTTTTCTTTACATACCTGTAGCTGTTTTTACTTTTCTGTTTTTGAAGTCAGCTTGTGTCTTGACGTGTCCCTTGCAATATCCCTATCGTTATATATGCTGTGTGCCTTATGAAATGCTGGGATCTGGAAAATCCAACCAACCAACCCACCGGCTCCTCACCGTCTCCACCTCTGCCTTTGACTGACACCTCAATCTGTCAATCGGAACCGCCTACCATGCGATTGGTCGGATGGCGTTTCGGGGGGCGGTGCATGCAGAGAAGCCAACAGAGCAGTAAGCGCAGCAGCCGGAGTGTGGAAGATGACAAGGAGGGCCACCTGGTGTGCCGGATCGGCGATTGGCTCCAAGAGCGATGTACAGCCACCTTTCGTAAAACTTTACCTCTCTACTTTCTACCCCCCTTGTTAGACGAAATCTCTCCTGCCTGGAGGGGCCTCTAGTGCGCGTGGTGCCTTAGCGGGGCCACCAGTAATTGCCTGAATGACACAACACTAGCAACTTCTGTTTTTAAGAGTGTAGCAGTGAGAAAGAAACCTTTTTTGTTTTGAGAATTTGAATGCTGTGAACTTGCAGGAGCTGCCAACTCTCTGCCCTCTGGACTCTCATGCCCAGCTTCTTTTCTCTCCTAGATGAGATCGTGGGGAACCTGGGCGAAGGCACCTTTGGCAAGGTGGTGGAGTGCTTGGACCATGCCAGGTGAGCAAGCTGGGGTGGTATAGCTGGCTCTGGATGTGATCTTCCTAGGAAGAGCTAGCTTGAGGTTCTTGAAGGTGGTGGGTTAACTTTTTTCTTTTTGGTGGGTAGCACCCAAATTGGGTCTGACCTATACATGTTGGGGTTTTGCTGATTCCCTGGAATAAGGGAGAAATTCTTGGGGTTCTGTAGGCATGTGGCATCCCTTCCGAGGATTGCCAGTGAATGATTCTGCCCCAATTTCCCCACTTTTCTAGGGCTGTGGCGCTAGATATGACAACAGAGCCAAGGCCCTGGCTCCTCTGTGGCCTGAAGCTGCTTCCTGTGATCTTTGTTAGGTCCTTGGCCTGGCAGGAGTTGGGAGTGCTGCTAAGCACAGCCCAAGCATGAGCCCTCACCCCCTGGGTATTTGTCTGAGAGACTGTCCAGGTCCTAGTTAAGAGAAACAAGACCCTAGGCTTTTTCACCAAGCAGGTCACTGCCTTCTCCAGTGTAGCATGTGCTCTCTGCTGAGTGTGCTCAAGGAGAGAAGGAGTATACCTTCCTCCCTCTCAGGCCTAACAGTGCAACACTTTTACCTCCTTATCCTTCCTCAAGACTAGAACCCATGTTTCTTCCCCAGTAGCTCTGGGTTGGGGAGGCTACCTCCTGAGAGCCAATTGCTTTCCTGCCTTAATGGCCCTCAAGCTGGTTTGCACTTTAACTACAAAGTGCTAGTATCCTCGTTAGAACCATGTGCTGCCCATACATGGTCCTCTAACTGTTTTAGAGATGAAGAAACATGCTCAGGGTTTGCCTGTATCATGCCACGCTGTTAATGGCAGAGCTGGGTTCTGCTGTGCTGCAGTGCTCCCACATTAAGAGGGGTGCTCAGAAAGGGCAGTTAGACCCAGGAGTCTAGCCATCCCTGTGGCCATAAGATAAAGTAGTAGTGGTGACTGAGAGGAACCTTCCCTTTGCTCCCAGTTCCTGTTTAAACACCCCTTGGACCCTGTGTGGCACAAGAGGTAAGGGATAGTACCAATGTATTTAGGGCCGTGTGCAGACTGTACTGTGACTGGATGAAGATGTGGCAGATCCGAGAGCTGTGATACAAGAGGGCAGCTAAACTGTCCGTGCTGTGCCACTTTGAGTAGCTGGAGGGAAAACGAGCCTCTGAAGTTGCTAAGGGGCAGGCACAGGGTCCTAAATGGAGTCAGGGTCACTGGGGATTGTTATGCAGAGGCAGAATTCAACTCAGTGAAAGGAAGGGTCTTATACTCAGAGCCATACAAACCTGGCAGAGACCACCTTTGGAAGTGATGAGCTCCCTGTGTTGAGGATTAGAATGCCAGGGAGGGATCCTGTTCTAAGAGGAGGCCAGAGTATGTGGCCTTTCCTCTGAGAACCTTTCCTGCTCTGAAATCTGGAAAACTGGGACAGGGAGAGAAAAGCAGGTTATTCTCTACAAGATGCCTTTGCCCTGGGGCCTGTGAGCCTTTCCTTAGGCACCAAGGCCGGCCTTCCTGGGGCCCCAGAAGACACAACCTTGTGGCCCAACGCTCTCTCACTCCAGTTCCCCACAAGGCATCTCAACTCTAGCTGTCTCTTCCTGACAGGGCCTGGCAGCCGAGCTTCAGCAGAAGTCTTCCTTCTCTGCTTATTTGCATCCTGCAAATGGCCTACTGCGGTGGGGTTGGAGGTGGGAGGTGCAGAGCAGGGACTGTTAAAATCCTCACTTAGGGCTGGCTGGTTTTTTAGCTCAGTTGGTTAGAGCATAGTGTGGTGTTATAACACCAAGGTTAAGGGTTTGAATCCCTGTGATGGCCAGCCAGCAGAAAAAAAAGGAATAAAATCCTCACTGGACACTTAACAAGGGTCCCTGGCACTCTGTGGTCACTGATAAAAGCTGTGGCCAGTAAGCAGGCAGGTAGGTGGGCCCGGAGAGGGATGTAGTAAAGGAAGTGGCCCTGGACCTCAACAGTGAGAGGACCCCATTGCTGGCATCCTTACCTCTTGCTAGGCCTTCACTTCATCCTGGAACCTCCATCCCAGGGGAAGCTGTTTGCTTCATCCTGGAACTCCCATCCCAGGGGGAGCTTTTTGCTGAGACTTGCACATGTGCCTAGGAAGGTCAAGACGTGTGGTGGGAGGGTTCTAGGTGGGGCAGCTGGGATCGGAGCTAACTGGCCTACAAGTTAAGTTACTGAGTGAGTTCTCGCCTGGTACTTATCAGCAGGATTGGCCTCTCCTTTGCCCACACTCTGCCCTGGGAGCTGGCAGTGTCTGAGAACATAAAAGCCTAAGGCTGGCAGGAAGGCTGAGGGTGTTAACTCACAGATGCCAGGGGAGTTTGCTGTTAGGTGGGCAAAGGTCCAGTGTTGCATGGGGCAGGCTGGGCATCAATATCTGCTCTCTCCAGGGCAGGCCATTCCTGGTATGTTGTTTGTCGGGAGTTGCAGGATTGGGGCGGAGGGTGGGGGAAGGGCTGGGCAGCTGCTGATGAGAACCTTTGCTTCCTTCCTGGGTCCCAGAGGGAAGTCTCAGGTTGCCCTGAAGATCATCCGCAACGTGGGCAAGTACCGGGAGGCTGCCCGGCTAGAAATCAATGTTCTTAAAAAAATCAAGGAGAAGGACAAAGAGAATAAGTTGTGAGTGTCTGCAAGGAGTGGGAGGGAAGCCTTCAGTGGGGACAGAGTCTACTCAAGCCCCATCTTCCTGGACCCCAAGGGCTTAGCAGTGTCCTATCACCTGTTTAGCACTTTGCTTTCAGCCTGCACTTAGAGCCAGGAGAGTTTGGCAAGTGAGTCTTGCTCGAAGGAGCCTTTGGACTTCAGTCCAGGCTCTACCCCAACTGGCTTTGTGTTCTGAGGCAGTTTTCCTAACTCTGCATTTGTGGGACCTCACTGGGTTGTGGTGAACATAAGATAGAAGCATGAAGCTGTCTGGGGCTCTCACATGGTGGGAGACATCCAAAGGAGAGCCTTTCTTTCTCTGGACAGACACTTCCTTTTGTCCAAGCACTGTGCTGAGATTGGGCAGATGGATGGATCCAGCACGAACACTCATGAACCTCAGGCAGAGGGGGGAGTCAAAAAAAGCAACACTAGTCCTGTGGAATGTACTGGCACTCTTCCTCAACAACTCTAAGGCAGGGCTTCTCCCCATATCATAAATGGGTGAGCTTGGAGAACTCAGATCAGAACCCTGGCGCAACCCCACAGCAGGAAATTCAGTCTTTGACCAGAGCTCATCTGGGTGAAGGCTGGTGGGATGTACTCTTGCCTTGAATTCTCTTTTTTCATGTGTATTTGCGTCCCGGTATGTGACCCAGTGGCCTAGGAGAGAGTGGGGACTGGCTTCATCTGAGAGTGGGGGGTGAGGCATCCCACCCAGCACAGAGCCTGAGCCCCACCCATCATTCTCCTCCAGCCTGTGCGTCTTGATGTCTGACTGGTTCAACTTCCACGGTCACATGTGCATCGCCTTTGAGCTCCTGGGCAAGAACACGTTTGAGTTCCTGAAGGAGAATAACTTCCAGCCTTACCCCCTACCACATGTCCGACATATGGCCTATCAGCTCTGCCACGCCCTTAGATGTAAGTGTCCACCTTCAATTGGAGCATGGGGCGGCCACACACCTGCGGCAAAGCTACCTGGTGATTTTGCTCTCCTCCATTCACTTCAGCACATTGCTAACCATTGTGCTGGGCCTGAAAGATATATCAGGGCCCCTGTGACTGAAAGGACTTCTGTCCTTAGGTAGGAATCTCAGTACGAGAATGGAAAGGCTAGAGTCCCCTCCAGGCACCTCCTGGGCCAGCCTCTGCCCCCAGACACTCAGGAAGAAAACAGGAAAGAGCTGCTCTAGAATTGGCCCAGCTACCAACCCCAACGTCCACCTTTATGCATAGGATAAAAAGGTGGAAGCCTGACTTGACAGATCCCACCACAGGTCCTGCCCACATGGAGACCCTCTAAATATCATTCATCTGCCTGCCAGCCTTGAAGAGCATATTTGGTGGTGCCAGTGCTCAGCGCTACAGGATTTGCGATAGTCGGAGCCATACGTAAAGTCTCCTTGAAGAGAAGGTCAATAGACCTAGAACTAGAATGTGCAGTATCTGGATAGATGGAGAGGACATGGATGAGCATTCTAAGCAAGAGGAATGGCTCAGTGAAGCGCTAGAGACTGGCATATACTAAAACTCAGAGTGGAGAGAGGGCTCACATTGGGGAGTGGTGGGCCACATGGGTATGAGGATCTTGAGTGTCAGATGGGAGCTTTGAGCCTGAAAGTGATGAGTAGTGGGAAGGCACTGTTGGTGGGACAAGGGCTGGAAGGAAAATGCTTCCCTGTTCAGGGCTGATGGTGGAAGGCAAGGCTGGCTTCATGGTGTGTGACCTGTGCAGTCGCACAGGACCCTGTCTTGATTTAATCCTGTTGTCACCATCTTAACATTCTTCATAATTTTTGGACAAGAGGGCTGCATTTCATTTTGCAACGGGCCCTGCAAATTCTGTAGCTGGTGCTGGAGAGAGGGAACCACCCTGAGGCTGTTGCTGCAGCTTTGGTGAAAGACACGTGAGGAAGCCTGGTGTCTGCAGAAGAGAGATGGCAGTTTTCTAGATGGACAACTTCCCCTTTGCCACCCCCCTTCTAAAGTATCAGAACCTTCCAAGGCCTCAAGTACAGAGAACTCTTGAGAGAGAAGCCAGTGGGGAGGCAGGATTAGGTCCAGCTGCCTGCTGAAGTTGCAGTGTGAGCAGCTCTGGCAGTTGCTGGCTTTGAAGGAAGGGTCTGTGCTAGAGCTGGCTGGAGAGCCAGAGAGGAAGCCCAGGTTCTTAGTACCTGCTTCCCTCCCCCCCTCCCCTAGTTCTACATGAGAACCAGCTGACCCACACAGACTTGAAGCCAGAGAACATCCTGTTTGTGAATTCTGAGTTCGAAACCCTCTACAATGAGCACAAGGTAATGGTGGGGATGAGGGTGAGGCCTTGCTCCAGGGTGGGTTACCCGCTGGTACAGACTCCTGACCTGCCCACCCTTTCAGAGCTGTGAGGAGAAGTCGGTGAAGAACACCAGTATCCGAGTGGCTGACTTTGGCAGTGCCACCTTTGACCATGAGCATCATACCACCATTGTGGCCACCCGTCACTATCGCCCGCCTGAGGTGATCCTCGGTGAGTATATAGTCTGCAACCTTGTTACACCAGGCAGGTGTTGGGAGGGTATGAACAGAGGTGGTGGCATGCCTGTCTGTCTGCTTTCCAGGGTGGGCAGTGTCTTAGACCTAGGGGCCAGTATTGTGAGACACTTAAGGTTGATTTGGCCTTGTAGGGCCAGGTTTACTGAGAGAGGGCCTTCTGCTGGGGTTTGGGCAAGAGCCCTGCCAACCAGTGTGGCAGCTGCCCTGTGACCTTGAGGCTGGAGCACAGGGCTGGATCTCACAGCATCTCCTCATCTTGGCTTTCAGAGCTGGGCTGGGCACAGCCCTGTGACGTCTGGAGCATCGGCTGCATTCTGTTTGAGTACTACCGGGGCTTCACACTCTTCCAGGTACAGCCACCCCAATGCCCCATTACCCTGAGTGCTGCTACTCTGACAGGTTGCAGAGTGCTGGGGTGGGAAGTCCCTTGTGGCTGAGGAGACAGGTGTCTTCCACCCCATACCAGTCATCATGTTGTGAGATTCAGACTCTTCAGGGTTGTGAATGCTCAGAGAAAGGAAGAAGTCAGTGTACCTAGAGTACTCAGGGAGGAGTCTTGAGCTAGGCCATCAAGGATGGAGGGTTGGGGTGGCAGGAGTGAGCATTGTAGGCAAGGGACACAGCATGAGTGAGGGCATGGAGATGGGCTAGGACAGGGCACATTCTGGGGAGAGTGAAGAACCAACCAGAGAGGTGCAATCACAGCCAAGTCCCCCTGAAGGGCTGAGGAGTGTGAGCCTTACCCTGAGAGAACAGGCTGGTCTCATCTCTGGCCCAGGCTGGCAGGCTGCCACCAGGTCCTGCAGGCTGGGACTGCTGTTGCATTGGTAGGTTTGCATCTCTTGAGGCAGGGAGGGCACTTGCCCATCTTTCTCATCCCATGTTCTTGAGAGGGCTGAGGTTGGGACTGACCCCCACTTTCTCTGTCCCTGACTTCCTATAGACCCATGAAAACCGAGAGCACTTGGTGATGATGGAGAAGATCCTAGGACCCATCCCATCCCACATGATCCACCGTACCAGGTAAGGAGCCCCCTGTAGCTCCCTCAGGGCTGGTGGGAGGGAGGGGGCTTTCCCTTCTTAGCTCTGGGTCAACAGGGTACTAGAGATGGTCTTCCCTGGACATTCCATGACTCTTCCAGGTTCTAACAACCTTCTCTGCACACCCCTCTGAGTGACCTGGCAAGCCTGTTGCCCAGACTTTCCTCCTCTGCTATAAAATCAGTCAGGCCTGGAACCTTCTGCCTAGCTTTGCTATCATTCCATAGACTGCTGCTGTCCTGGATCTAGCCGGGAGCTGATCCTCTCACTAGAGGCTTGTCCCCCTACCACTCCCACCGTTTGACTCCCCCTCTCCCCACCTTAATTTCTCAGGAAGCAGAAATATTTCTACAAAGGGGGCCTGGTTTGGGATGAGAACAGTTCTGATGGCCGGTATGTGAAGGAGAACTGCAAACCTCTGAAGGTCAGTTTCTGGCTTCCCCCAGCTCAGCTCATGCCAAGGAGACCCCAGGCACTGGGCAAACATACAGCAGAGAGACAGGATGGGCAGCCTCCTCGTTCCAGCTCTATGGGAGGTGGCATTCAAGACTGCTAGTTGCTGGCAGTGGGGCTTCGTGTAAACTGCCCCAGAGGGGCCCTTAGCCCTACCTCTTCCCCACAAGGTTTCTATGAATGTAACTGGGGAGCACCAGAAGAGCCAGATGTCAGAGGCCCTGCTGCTTCCAGTCCTACCCTCTTTCAATTTTGGGAAGAACTAGGCAGGACTGAGGTGAGGGGGAGGGAAGACTAGACATGGCCAGGAAGCTTCTGTCAACTGCATTTGGTGCTCAGAACAAGTGAATTTTGCAGAGGTGATTTGTACTCACCTCTCAGGACTTTGCATGTGGGGGCAGAGGCACCAACCCAGCAAGACACCCACCCAGTAGCCTGACAAGTTCCAAGGAAAGGAGCTGCTCATTGTCCATGAGGGCAGAAATAGAGTCCTCCAAGGAGGCCTCACTGCCTCCTCGACCCAGTCTAGCAAGACATCCCAGAGGCAAGGGGTCCTACTGTGCTTCCCACAACCCTGCCATCACACTGAGGCACCTTGTGTCCCTGAGCAGAGTTACATGCTCCAAGACTCCCTGGAACATGTGCAGCTATTTGACCTGATGAGGCGGATGTTAGAATTTGACCCTGCCCAGCGCATCACACTGGCGGAGGCCCTGCTTCACCCCTTCTTTGCTGGCCTGACCCCTGAGGAGCGGTCCTTCCACACCAGCCGCAACCCAAGCAGATGACAGGCGCAGGCCACCACACAAAGAGATGGAGAGCGGGACTGGTCTGCCCAGCCCCTTTTCTCCAACCTCTACCACCGGGCCCCAGGGCCAGAGCCACCCAATGAACAGTGCAATGTGAAGGAAGGTGGGAGCCTGCAGGAGAGGAGACATGGTGCCCAGCTGCCAGAAGCACAGATTTGACCCAAGCTATTTATATGTTGTAAAGTTATAATAAAGTGTTTCTTACTGTTTGTAACCCCTGGTACCAGTGTGTCCATCTCCAGGCTCCTTGCCTTCTCCCTTCCCTGACCTTATTAATAAAGTCTTTCTTAGCATTTCAGCTTGTGGAGAGCTAAGTGTGAACTGGGCCAGGCACACACAAGCGCTAGCCAGTAAAAAGACCAGAAGATGGGACATCCTTCTGTGTCCAGGAGAAGAGCAGTTCCAGTTCCAAGATGAGGCTGAGGTGGCAGGCCTGCTAAGCAGCCCTAGTAGGCACCTGGGCCTTGTGCCTCTGCCCTGCTGGCTCCTGTATCTCTCAGCCCTGAGGAACCTGAGGGAAACAGCCCACAGCGGCTAGCCAGGTACGGTCTGGTTTTACCTATCCTGCCAGCACATCTGTCACTGGCTGGGACTTCAGGCTGCATCGGCTCAACTACTACAGTCTACTGAGGGTGTGAGGCAATCAGGGCAGGCTCCTATGCTAGAGGTGCCAGTACCTCACCACAGCCTACATAGCAATTCACCACACAGCACAGGACTCAGTCATTCAGCTTTATTTTAGTGCTGGTTTTTGGTTCCCCATGAGCTGCATGAGTGATAGGCTTGACCACCTAATGGGGGCCCCTTGGGCAATGGACACCAGACACTGTGGGCAGGATGCTTCTGAAAAGAGCTGAAGACAGAGAAATCACACTTATTTTTAATACCTCTGGGGAAGGCCCAGGCTGAGGGCAGAAAAAGGCCCTAGTGCCACCTATGAGAGAAGAGGGAGAGGCTTCAGCACAAACTCCCAGTGGCCCCTCAACAAGGCCAGCACCCCCGGGGCCAGTGTAACTGACTTGAGTGAGCAGTCTTCTGGGCCAGGGTTCTAGCTGACCTTCCACTGTACCTAATCAGGGGGCCCAACTGTGAACAAGCAGCCAGAACCTGTTTAATGGCTGACTACTAAAATGACTATTAGACTGCTCCTCAACTGTGGCTCTTCCTCTGAAAAGGGCAGCTTGGCCCTCAGAGTGAGCCAAGGCTCAGGGAGAATACACAGCACAAGGCTCACAGTCCCTGGCCTCCTCCCACTGCTGGAGACAATTTAACATTGGAGGGAGGATAGGAAAAGAGGGGCCAGCCCTCTGCCCTGCCTCATCTGCTCCTGGCTATTCTCCTAAAAGAAAAGTGATAAGCAGCCTGAAACCAGCGCTTACCCTGTGTCCACGATCCTTGGTGAATCCTTCCTCCTACCCTCCCCATAACCAGTGGGTGGGTACAGAGCTGAAGGAAGCCTGACGCCCTGAAAAAGGCTTTAAAGCACAAGTCCTTTGCAAGGGTCCCTGCCAAAGCTCCAGGGATGGCTCCTGTTCCACCAGCCTCCAGGGCCAGGCCTTGGAAGGTCCTGGGGCTTAGCACCTTAGGACCTGAGCAGCAGCGTGTTCCTATGGCTGAGCCCCACCAGCCAGCTCGTCCAGAACTAGCCTCATTTTGGCATCTTTGAGACAGGGCGTTGACCCAAAGCCTACTCATCTAAAGTGGACAATCTCAACGGGTTCAAAGCCCAGACACTAAGGGCTGGGTTGAGCCCAGGCAGGAGAAGGACATATGACCAGCTCTGGGATGACAGCTGCACAGAACCTTTTCAGGGGAAGGGCAAAGGGGCAGAAGGGTATGTATGGGCAAGGAGGTGGGGGAGTGGTGGCCTAGGACAGAAGCACCAGGGAGCCTCTTCTGGCTCAGCACCAGGCTCCCCAAGGGCCTCCCCAATACTGTACATTAAAGCTGCACCCCAAGGGGTCTGGCCCCAGACTAGGCAAAGACTCAGCCCCCAGGGGGGGGGGGGGGAGCACTGCTGGCAAGATGGGCACTGTGGTTCTATAGTAACATAACCTTATACTACCTGTGCTGAACACAACAGAAAAACCAGTATAAAAATCCCAATACAGTAATACCATCCTGATGCCACCCCCTTCCCTGCCTCTCAGAATGATGGAGTGGAAAGGAGGAAAGAACCCTTGGAAAAATGCCAGCATAAAACTTGGATCAGCTCAGGAGAATGGGTCAAAAGCCCCCAAATCAGCTTGTGGTGGGGCTAAGGGAAGGCCTGTCATAGCCCTCAAAATGAACAGAGCGCAAGTCTGCCCTCTGGTGGACAGCTACCGCGCAGCCGGTTCTACATGATTAGAGGAAGAGCTACCCTGCTAGGGGAAACCAGGGAGACAAAGCCACAAGCTCTGAAATAGAGCAGCCATAGGCCCCCGAAGAGGACCTGGCCCACCCCCAAGGCGCTTGCCCAGGCTCAGTGGCTGTAAACCTGAAACACAGTCTAAGAGCTGCCTATGTCTGTAAACAAAGCCCCACCTGGCTGCAAAGGGGGCTGAGCATAGAGATGCCTGGAGCAGCTGCATGCCCAGCCAGCCACCTGCCCTACACCCAGTGGGAAAGCCTCCCCTGGCTAAGGGCAGGTGACAGGTCAGTTTTAAGTATGTTCTGTTGTCTCACACAAGAAACAAACCCAAAAGAGAAAAACTTTAACAAAAACAGGGTCCATGAAGCTTCACATCCTTAAGGCGTTCGTCGTCAGGTTCAGTGTCAGGAGCAGCAGGGGACTGCAGCGTCCTGCCTGCCAAGGGCCCCTCTAGGCAGAGTGCAGTGGGATGACAAACTTGCAGCCAAAGGGGGAGTGGTAGTTGATGCCCACCTCCTGGAAGACCTGCTGGGGAATACCGATGTCACACAAATAGACACGGCCTGCATGCTCCCCCAGTGGCAGAGGCAGGCCCAATGCCAGTGACCACTTGGCATCGATGCCCTGTTCGACTTCATGCACAGGAGGGTCTATGCTGAGTACCGGTGCCCGGTTCTGGTTGGCCCAGGCCACAGCTGCCTTGTACCAGGGCTGATCCCGCAGGAAGGCATTCTCAGGGCAATCCAGGCAGTTGATGACAAGGTCCACAGGGCTAGTGGGAAGATCTGCAGAAGGAAAGAGCACAATGTGAAAATCCCTATGAACAGAGAGCAGCCCAGGCTGGGGACTAGAGCCCAGGTGGCCTCAAGAGTTGTTCTCCAGACACCACTCCAATGCCTCTCCAAAGGGTGGCCTTTTCAGGCTGGGCCAGGGCACAGGCCCTGGGACCTCCACAGCCTGGTTGGGCTGGGTGCTAGAAACCAAGGGCATGTCAGGCTAAAGGACGACTGCCCTCATGGAGCTCCTAGGCTGAAGCATTGTCCTGCTGAGTGTGCAGAGCTTCTCAGGGCACAGGCTCTCACCTCCTCTGCCTCACAGGCAAGCCTCTGTGCATGTGACTAATGCCCTGGGTACATCATGAGCTCTGGGAAAGCAGAGTCCACTGCAGAGTCAGTCCTCACAGGGAAGTCCTACTCAGGGCCCAACAGAAATAGGAGCCAACCGCCCCAAAAAGGGTAAGCCGGTGAAGACAGGCTTGCTTACTCTACTCTGGGCTCTACTATAGCTGCCCTGCCCTCTTCTCTGGCCCCTGATCATCTCATGAGAATGGGTCCTCCACTCAGCCCAACCTTAAGAATGGGGAAGGAACCTATCATTGTTCTTCAAGGCATTTGAAAAGGCTCCTCTGCTCTAAGCAGGACACTGGGACAGTATAAGAACAGGATGTCTAAACAAATTTGTTAATCTTGGACTAGCCTAACAGGTTAAACTGAGAATAGCAGAAATCAGACCAAACTCAAGGACTGTCATCCTCAGACTTGCCTCCTGAAGCAACTGGCATAAGAAGCCTTTTGGGCAGCCAGAAGCTTCCTGGAATGGGGCATCATGTACATCAGGCCCCCTTCCCTGCTCTCAGCCTAGAGTAAGACATTTCTCAATGAGAGACTCATGGCTTCCCTAATTAGAACATGCCACTATGTGGGTCATGAGGCTTTCAAGAGAATGGCATCCTATCTTCCGTGCACTCCCAAGAGCCTGGCCTGAGGCTTAGGAGACTGAGGTTCTCATCCAGACTCTGGCCCTGACTTGCTGTCTGCCCTCTGGCAAGGCCCTTTCTCCGGGCCCTATGTGCTCTGTCCACATCTCCCCCCACCCCACCCCGCCCTTCTCACTTAAACCCCCTCCAGTCAGACTTTGCCCCCACCACTCCACTGAAACTACTCCTGTCAAGCTCACCAGGGTCCTCCACACTGCTAAATCCTGTGGCTAATTCTCAATCGTTCTTTGAACTTAGCCTAGAGTGGCTTGCTGATGCAGCTGATCAAACACGCCTTTCTTCATTTGGTTTTAGGTCCCATACAGGGGTACTTCAAAAAGTTCATGGAGGAATAGAATTAAAAGGTGATATGAATCTTTCCATGAACTTTCTGAAGTAGCCTCATACTCTCCTGGTTTTCCTTCTCCCTCACTGACCACTCCTGCCTGTCTCCTTGACTGGGTTCTCAACTTATTGACTTCTAAACAAAGAGCTCAGTCTTCCACCTTCTCTACTCTTTTCCAAGGTGATGATATCCAGGCTCATCGTGGCTTAGATGTTACCTTCACACTTGTAACACTAAGTCAGATCTCTTCACATAACTCCAGATCCATACAACCTCTTGCCCAATCCACATGTCTACCTCAAACTGAGTTTCTGCTCGTCCTCCCCAAAGTCTCCCATTTTGGTGAGGGCACCTCAGTTACTCAGGCCAAAAACCTTGGAACCATTCTTAACTTTTTTTTTTTTTAACTCCCTACATTTAATCTGTGGACTCTATCTTCAAAACTGATTCAGAAACTAACCACTTTTCACTACCTCTGCCACTACCACTCTGTCTTAGCCACCATCATCTCTCTCTCTCCAGTTATTACCACAGCATCTTTTGTGTGTGTGTGTGGCTGGCCAGTTCGGGGACCTGAATCTTAGACCTTGTTAAAACACTGCACTCTAACCAACTGAGCTAACCAGCCAGCCCACAACAGCATCTTAATACATCTTTGTACTCCATGGTCTCCTCTCAAACAGCACTCAGACTGATAGTCTGAAACCTGAGTTGGAGTCTATCATTCCTCTGCTTATTCCTCCAATAACTCTCCATCTCAGCCAGATGGAGAAAACCCTTTTAAGTGACTCACAAGGCCCTTCATGACCTGACCCTGAAATGTCCAACTCTTCTACTCCCCATCCAACCCTCCAACACCCCTTATCTCCCTTCTATATTTTTCTCCATAACACTTATGACCATCTGACCTAATGTGTTACATATCGGTGTGTTCCTCTCTCCTAACCAGAATATAAGCCCAATGGAATAATGGATTTTTAAAAAATCTGTTGCCCTATCCCCAGCATCAGGAACAGTACCTGTTCCACGAATATTTGTGAAATGTATAAATGGGTCTTCAGCTCTCCATCTGAAGAGTGAGAGAGGGAGAAGGGTGGAGGAATGGGAAGTAGGCCAAGTCAACAAGAGTATTTCCTGGCAGTTCTAAGTTTAGAGGCAGAGCACTTTCTTTACACACGTGGTGCCTTTCCACCTGTTGCCACTGGGTGGCACCACCAGACCATCAAACTACCAAGGAGGGAAGAGGTCCAGCCCTGCGCAGGTGCTCACCTTTGAGGCTAGACACTTGTTGGCCTTGGGTCTTGCTGAAGAGAGACAGCTCATTGGTGATGGACTCCAGCATCTTGACAAAGTTGGGCAAGAAGAGGATGACCTGGACATCATGGTTAGCTAGGTGCCTTCCACAACTGATACCCTGAGCCCCCTTCACGTGGGGCCCACATAGCAGGGCCACTGTAGGCCTCTGGTGAACATTTTTGGGATTCAACCTGGCATAGAAGGTAAAGAAGCAGTATCAGCTACAGACTTGCCAATCCCTTGCACCCCACACCAGACAACTGCCTAGAGGCATCACCTGTTGCTCTCAAAGCTCTCTTCCACTGCTCACCAAGTCCCAGGCTCCAGAGGGGGACAAATTCCACTGCAGGCCAGACCTACAAGGTAGCATTCCCACTGTCCCACACTCCAGTGTTATTTTATCGCTAGGTTCTCCCACTAAGTAGATCACCCAGATCTCACTCCATACAACACTGTTACTGCTTTCTGACCCAAGAACGCTTAAATGGTTCCTCTCTGTGTGACCTATTAGGTCCAAACTCTGCTTGGCCGAGGCTTTTCCTCTGCAGCCTTCTCTGCTCTTCTTCCCCAACGTGTTTGCTCCACTCCAACAAAGCTGGTCTCCTCATCCTCTCCTGCGTTTGTAAGGCTCTTTCCTGCTTATGCTCAAACTATATCCCCTGTCCAGAAAGTCCTTTGCTTTTCAAACTTTGACTACCTTTTCTTTGAGATCCAGTTCAAGGTTTACCTCTTCTGGGATTATTACACTCTGGCTCATGCTCCCCCCCCCCCCTTTCTCAACTGATGATAAACTCACAGCAAGTACCAATTTATGACAGTCAGTTCTAGGGGCCAGGCCATGGCTCACTCGGGAGAGTGCGGTGCTGATAACACCAAGGCTACCGGTTCAGATCCTATATAGGGATGGCCGGTTAGCTCACTTGGGAGAGCATGGTGTTGACAACACCAAGTCAAGGGTTAAGATCCCCTTACCTGTCATCTTAAAAAAAAAAAAAAGATAGTTTTATTTATTTATTTATTTTTTTTTGAAAAGATGACCGGTAAGGGGATCTCAACCCTTGGCTTGGTGTTGTCAGCACCACGCTCAGCTAGTGAGCCCCCCCCCTTTTCTCAACTGATGATAAACTCACAGCAAGTACCAATTTATGACAGTCAGTTCTAGGGGCCAGGCCATGGCTCACTCGGGAGAGTGCGGTGCTGATAACACCAAGGCTACCGGTTCAGATCCTATATAGGGATGGCCGGTTAGCTCACTTGGGAGAGCATGGTGTTGACAACACCAAGTCAAGGGTTAAGATCCCCTTACCTGTCATCTTAAAAAAAAAAAAAAGATAGTTTTATTTATTTATTTATTTTTTTTGAAAAGATGACCGGTAAGGGGATCTCAACCCTTGGCTTGGTGTTGTCAGCACCACGCTCAGCTAGTGAGCAAACCGGCCATCCCTATATAGGATCCGAACCCGTGGCCTTGGTGTTATCAGCACCGCACTCTACCGAGTGAGCCACGGGCCGGCCTAAAAAAAAAAAGATAGTTTTAAATTGTCCTCAGTCAGTTGTCAGTCTAAGTTCTCTTTACTGAGCTGCTAATAAGAGCGATGTTGTAGATAATAACGGGACCTATTTCATAGGATGCTGTGCAGAGCAGTGCCTGACACACAGAAAGTGCTCAATCGGTGCTGACCATCGAGGAGGCAGCAACTAGGGCTGCCCAGCCTCCATGGCTGGTAGCAGTCCTGGATGAAGTAGTCACTTCCATTTTCCTGCTATTCAAAGCTGTGACTCCTCTGGTCTCAGAGAAGCCACAAGTAAGGAGGTTTGGAGGATTAGCTCTGGAACTGTGCCCAACTCAAAGGCAGCACAGGTGGCTCACAGGACAGGAAAGTATGGAAGAGATGGACAGTAAGGCCATAGGTCCTGCTTAGGGGTGGAGCAGTGACAGTCACTTACCAGTCTCCAAAAGGGAAGAAGATGACAGATGCTGGCAAGCTAAAGAGGAGCTTTGTAACCACCCCCCTTCCCAAACAAATTTTGGGGAATTTAGCAATGTACTCCACATGGAACCCAAACCATTCATTTTCCCCACTATTTTTTCATCTAGAGGAAATACGATGGCTTCTTCTTCCTTCAGACGGCTGCTGCAGGGTTTGGCACCTGACTCACCATGTCTATTCACTAAATGGACTCTCCCTCTCACCAAGGCACCCCCCGACCCCACCAGCTCCCAATCACCACTCCTGATATGTGAGCCCAAGGGACAGATGGGAAGGTACCAAACCCCAGCTCCCCTACCCAATTGTCAGGGTGGTTCTAGAAGTTCTCAGGTATGGAGCTCAAGACTGATTTGCATCCCAGCCATAAATTGAATGGCAAGTGCCAAGGGCCAGGTCTCTGAAGGTTCCTAAAAGGCAGGCCTCTCATAGGTAGCAGGAGTCTCAAAGCCAGACAGGTGCTATTAGAAACGAAAGGGTCAAAGGGTAGCTTGCTGGTATAAGAATGAACTTTCAGGAGAAGTCCAGGTAAGAGGAGAGGGAAACAAACAACAAACCTGGCAGCATGCAGGAAAGTGATCTCAGAGAGACACTCACACTAGATGAGCAGCAACTGTCTAAGGAACTGTTCTATGTGTATGTAGGGGGGCGGGGGGGCACTGTGGTGGTAACTTAGCAGAGCATTATCACTCCACATTCAGCCCCTGCCAGTCTAGAGGCATTTACCTGTTGGGTCCTCCAAGAAGGGTCAGTGCCATCTGACTGGCACACACACCTGTCACCTCCAGTCTCCGCTCCAGGGTCAGCCCATGCTTCTCAGCCACAGACAGCAGCTTTTTATGCAGCTCATAGGAAACACTTGGGACAACCAGGCCAGAGTCTGTGTTCAAAAGAAGGTGAGGAAAGAAAGGGAAAGTGACTATGAGAAACCAGGCCCCAAAATTCTACCCAGGATTCTGTGAATGCCAATATTTTAAGACTAAGCCTCACCTGGCCCATCCTCTTCATCTTCTGGTACTGAGGCATGGTCTGTAGCCCTTCAGAGCTCAAGACTGGATGCAACTGAGTAACAACTTGTTCCAGGTCACCCTACAGCAGGGATGAACTTAAGTTCCCTTAACAGTTCAGCTTTAAACCACAAAGGCCAAATCCACCATGATGTATTTGGTACTACCAAGAAAAGGCCAGCACACAGCACATAACAGTACCCTATTAAACACATTAGAAGAAAACCTGCCTTTCCCAAAGTGAGGAAATGCTGTCCTAGGCAAGGGGGTTTCCCCTTGTAAAGCAGACCCTTTATTCTCCCTGAGAAGTGAAACAGACACTAGCTAACCCTTCTAACCTCTGGTCCCTGCTGTTCTCATCAATTTCAAGTCAGGATGACTTGTTCATCCCATCTGCTCTGCATTTCCTCTACTTTCTGTCTTCTACTTAGCCTTTCCTCTTTGCTTAAGAAATCCAGCTATTTGTTTTCTCAAATAATTTATCATTTTCTGCCCATTTGGGGTGAATGCAAAATTACACTCATACCACAGGGAAAGAATACATGGAAAGTAACCTACAGTTTGGTTTAAGTTATTTAGAAGAATCTGGAACATGTTTATTCACCTTAAAGATAACTCTATAAAGGCTGGGGAGAATCACAACCATTGAAAGTACCCCCTGGGAAAAAAAAGAAAGAAACTAAGACAAAAGTACACTATAGAAAGTATTAGGTTTTTCAAGGCTCAAAGTCAAAGTCTGCAGCAGCTGATATACCTGAAGAAGTCTAGAGTATCATTAGATGCAGAAAACCAAGACAGAAAAGAAATAGCAAACAAAAATTTTTATCTGCAATGGACAGCTCTTGCGTTGACAACCAAGGTCTCCCTCCCTCTAAGATGCCAATACCATCTTACAAATGCCAAGGCCACTGGGCTGGCCCCAGGGGAGCAGACCCTTTGCTAAAGAGCTGCATTTGGCTTCACTGGCTGATGGACCAACAAACACAGATTCGAATTAATAAGTCACCGTGAGATTGCATGTAACTAGTTTTGTCTGGATGGGTCAAATGCCTTTTTAGATCCTGTGTCCTCAACTATATTGTACTATAAACTCCTCAAAGTAGGGAAATAAACCTTTTACTTCTGCAGCCCTTGCCTCCTCAGTTTTTCCAACTACATTTATCAACAGAGGTGAGCTCTCGTCAGGTACTCAAACATATAAATTTTACAAACCTATTGTTGTTTCTGGTCTGACCTAACTCTAACGTAGAAATTTTCAGTAAATACATCATCATCCCATTGCTCCAGAGCCCTGTATGGACCTGTCTTCCTCATAGGTCATTTCAGGAGAAATCTCTTGAGGTTCTTTCAGGTGTCCAGTCCTGCCTGCATAGAGTCTTAAAATCATACAGAATGAGGCTATGGCTGTATGTTTTAAAAATAGAAAACCAAACACAAAGACCACCTACAGCACCCAGGTCTGTATTCTCTCAAGGGAGTGAGAATACCAACAATTTAATGTAATGATGATTTTAAAAAATGCCTAACATGTTGAAATAAACACTCTCTTTTCAGATAATTGAGCCCCTCTCCCTGCCCAAGTCCTAATCTTGTCTTGGGCTGAGGCAACAAACAGTGCCATTATGAGCTCTGAGTCTATCCTCCCACCTCTTTCTGAATGTCAGTCACTGGTGTCCCAGGTGCCAACGCTAGAGGCTGCAGCCTGACCTCGCATGTCAACAGCTTGTTAAAAGAGCCATTTTTACAGCCTGCTTCAAACACGCACATATTATCAGAACAAATTAGGCTGAACGAATTTTCAAGAATCCTAAGCCACTAACAACCCTAAACCTGTAAGACAAGTCACGCACCTGCCTATTTCAAACACCCTCTTTACCTGAAAAGTCACACAAGGTAGAGCTTTCACTCAAGTCTATGCATTTCTTCACCTCTTTATCAGCACTCTTTTTGCTGGATTTGAAATGGGTCAGGGCAGAGAGTCTTAGGCCTGCTACCCCACAAATCAAGCTTTCTTTCTGGGTCTGGCTCTTGTGCTGTGTGTACAGGCATCCCTCTCCTGTTCTGAGGGCTTTCTGGAAGCAAGCGGAGCATTTTCTGCTAGCTTTCCCCTCACAGTCCTTAAGAGTAAAAACTCATGGTACAGGAAAAGAAAAGCTCACCACACCCTGGCTGGCTAAATGCTGCATCTAGCAACTGTGTCTCTTACCACCTCCTCATTCATCTGTGTTTGGAGGAAGGGGCACTGTTGATGATTTGGCATATTTTTGTAGCCTAGGGAAAAGCAAGGCCGAGAACCCTTTCTGCTCACAGTCTGGCAGCTGCAGGGCCTAGGACTCAACTGTACTCCACTCTGATTGCTTCTCTGAAAGGAACACGCAAGCAACCACAAAATGTTCCTTTTAAACATTTATACACAAAGTCCAACCAGTCAGACTGACTTATCAGAAACAGGCAGAGGGGAATAAAATGAACTCCAAAGGAAGGGAACCAAGAACATGGCGTGTGAATTGCAAATAATAATATTGCCAAAGCCTGAACATGGGCCAAGCCTAATTATGTTTGGATTGGAAGGTGGATCTTTATTGTTCAGGAATCAAGGCAGTAAAATCGGTTGGTAAAGTTCTCTGAATATTAATATGTATTTTACAGCTGTTGGTGAAACAAGAAAGGGAGATATAATTATAACCAGTTCGTGACAAGCAGAACACTTCCTAGGATCTGATTAACCTTAGGGTATCAAGGAAAACGACTCAGTACAGACCAGGAAAGACTCCTCCTTGCACAACTCATTTCCACAGCATGAGGCTGAGGCCATCTCTTCGGGTCATGGGACCCAGTGGCCTAGCACTCTACATGCCTGCTGCAGTTGGTCCCTTGTCATGTTGTCACTTCTGCACTGCTCATCCCAGTACATACCATCACTGGCCTTTGCCTCCCTTGTGGACACACATGCATGTTCTCATACCCACCACGGCACTTTGACACCTTTTAGAACCACATCCGACCTTTCTCCTTCAAACCTGTCTCCTGCGTAACATGGCTCCCATGACAAAGTGTCTTCTCAGATCTAACTCAGTCCTCTCACTGACATGGCACTTTAGTTGGAAAGGCTGCACGTGTTCCCTCAATAAGGAGCACAGCTCATTAATGGGCATGAGATTTCTCCAGGACTATAAATTCTGATTCCATTTTGTGGCAGTCACAAAATTGGGTGGTGATATAACACTGGTTCCTTTTGGGATATAAAACCACTTGTAAATTTATACCCTCAACGAGCAATGAACAGATAGCCCCTGTAGAACTACTTTAAAGCTACCACAAAATGCAATTTTGGTGCCAAGTGAATCTCTGAACGAAGGATTTGTTATAAGAAGCCTAAATACATACTCCCAATACTCCTTATTATGGTCCACAAGGCCTCCCGTGATCTGGTCCCTGTCTACCTCACCACCTTTACCTTGCACCCAACCTCTGCCATGCCCCAGACACTTTGGCTGATTTCTGATTCTTAAATACTCCCTAGTTCCTTCTGGCCTCATGAAACAGGTCCCTTCGCATTTTTTTCCTCTCCTGTTATTCTCTTCTCCCTTCCAAGTCTACCCTCACACACAGCTGGCTCCTCATTCTTCAGATCTCAGCATGCTGCTTATTTCCTTCATTGTATTTAATACATTTGTTAACAGTTTTTACTTTCTGGCCTACCTACCTTGCCAGACTAAGCTCCATGAGAGCAGTAACTGTGTCTGTCTTGTTCACTGCTGTATTCCTTATTCTCCACTGTGCCCTCAGTGCTAACACAGTGCCGGTGAACAGGCTACATAAATGTGTGTTGAATTAGTGAACAAATGGGAAGAAAACCTACACAACAGACTTGAGGTCAGCCTCAGGGTATTCCATTCTGCAGCTGGACAAGGGTGCAGCTGTAACCAAAGGAACGTGAGGGTAAGACGCTTCTCACTTTCCCCACTTCTTCCCTCCCCCATTTACAACAGTTAGACCAATCCACCTGCCTACCTGACCTCATTCCTTCAGGCTAAAGCTCCACTGGAACAAGCTTTGGACTCAAGAAGAAAAGAACTTTCCAGCAAAATAACTAATTGCAAAGGGGGAAATTATCTTTACAATGAAAAATCTGGTGGACGATACCTTAACATGCAATCAAACTTAGCCCTAGTGATGTGATGCCTTGAGAAAGACACAGCCCCACCAAAATCCTGGAAAATATGTTTAACATGAATCAAATCAAAAGGAAACAATCAGTAAATCAAAATCAATGGACATTCTGCAAACCAACTGGTCTAGACTCTTCACAAATATCAATATCACAAAATACCACAAAAGTTGTGGGAACTGTTCTCAGTTAAAGGAAACAAAAGAGATATGATAACTAAATGTAATATTTAATTGTTGATTTAAAATACAGCTACACGGGTCATTATTGGGACAATTAAAAAGTTTTGCATACGGGCCCGGACTGTGGCTCACTTGGGAGAGTGTGGTGCTGATAACACCAAGGCCATGGGTTCGGATCCCTATATAAGGATGGCTGGTTAGCTCACTTGGAGAGCATGGTGCTGACAACACCAAGTCAAGGGTTAGGATCCCCTTACTGGTCATTTAAAAAAAAAAAAAAGTTTGCATACAGAGTGTATATTAGATAGTACTTGTGTATTAATTGAAAATTTCCTTGTAGTGTAGTTGCACAGAGTAATAAATATCCCACTTAACATATACATGGAAGGACTTAGAGATGAAATTTATTAATGAATGTAACTAAATCTCAAATGGTTCAGAAATGTGTGACTGTATGTGCATATATACTTATTTATTTTATGTAAAGCGAATGTGTCAAATGTTAACCTAAATGATAATT